CCCAGCTCAGCAACCATCCACGGTGCTGATGCCATGTAAAAGAAATTAAGTTGTGGTCATTTCCCAGCTGCTGACCGTTTGTACCCAGGGCCCGCACAGCACAAGAGTCATGTGTATTACTGGAGGTGGGTCATATTAACTTTGCTGTATTACTTTCTTAAAACACTAAACTCTTTGCAAATTGGTTCTTCTTCAGATTGGCTCACAGAAAAGTGGGAGAGGGAGTAAAAGTGTACGTACACTGTGGTCGACAACATTAAAAAGGGTGTGTGTATATAGACAAACAGTGGAAGGGAGCAGGAAAAACATTTACAGCAGCTGGTTTAAAGCTGCAATTCATGCTTTCTGAGAAATGTGTCTAGGAAAAAAAAATAAAGCTGCAATTCTCATCTGTGTCAGGTGGTACACAGCCAGGAGGTCATGATGAAAGGCACCAGATATCATGAGGTAGTAACATATTTAATATGCAGTTTAACCAGCGTGAGCTATATACAGCTCCAAAACTCAGAAATAACTGTTGATATTTTAAAATAAATATCATTTCTCACTTTTTCCATGTTGCTTTTATTACTTATTCATTCTGCTAATCCCTCACTAAGTGACATAGAGTAGAGTTACCAAATATTTAAGGAAAAACTAGGATGGAGAAAATCTTATAGTTGAAAAACCGCATTTTTTTGTGTGTGTGTGTTTTTTTTGTTGGTGGTGGTAGTGTTTCTTTTTTTGTTTTTTTTCGGTTTTTTTTCACAAATGAAGAAAATAACACCATCTTCAATTCAGTGAGGGCACAGTCCCAGTTATGGACTGCAGCAGCCTTGTCTAAGAATGCCGATGGAGTGATGGGATTGGGGAGGTGTTTCTTTTTTATCATTTTATTTATTGTTTTTATAATGTTGTTTGTGCAATGATAAAAATCAAGGGGGAAATGTAACGAGAAAGTAACATGAAAAAAGGGAAAACCTTGTGCTCATGCAAGTTCCTCTGCTGCAGGAGGGCCAGGGTCTCTTGCTTCTCGGCTTTTTTCACCAGCTTATCATCATCTTGTAGTGCGTGGCTGGTGCGCAACTCCTGGATCAACTCCAGTCGCTTTTCTTTCCCTTCAAACATCTGTATCAAATCAAATCAAAGAGAGACCTGCACATTACCATCCATTTGTGACAAGCACTAGGAAGCAGCCACTCATGAGACCCTTGGGAACAGTGGGTTCTGTCCTGTCCCTTCGGGTCCACAGAGCAGGTGTGTCCTCCAGAGCTAGTGCTTAGTCCGCTTTTCTGGGCCTTCAGCTGCTCAGGCAGAGAACAGGCTTAGCTTTCAGTGAGATGTTTACCCAGTGTCTGAAAATGCCTCTCAAATACAAGGTGACAACTCTAGGGTCATATTAAGAAACTAGAACTCTCCCTCATTTCCTGTGCTCCTTCCCTAAAATCCTGGGGATAGCATTGTTCATGGCCATATTTTCTTTTCCAATAAATCTTCCCCTGGTTTATAACACACAATCTGCTGTCTGAACTTAACTGTGGCTTTTCTCTTGGGGA